ATACCTGTTCTAGTTGAAGATATAACAGTTGCGCCAGTTAATGAAATATTACAAGTTGAAACCACTCCACATAAAAGACATAAAAAAACAGATAAGGAACTCAAAATGCTTCAAGAAGCATTTAGTCATATTTCCCATCCTTATTCCCATTTTGTGTAATTTCAATAACCCACACCATTCATAATACATTATCCACACTTTAAGAATATCATTGTCACCTTCCAATATATCTCTAGTATTAACATCATTTTGTTTTTTATATAGATTAACTGCAATTCCAATTGATGCCCAAATTAATTCAAGAACTCGAAATGTTGATCTGTAATCTACCACCTGTTCCAACTTATCCAAGTACTGTGCACCAAGGGCTTTAGCTAATCCGAATATACCATACCCAGAAAATGTAGAGATTAGGTATTACACATAGCTTTGTTTGTGTGCCATTGTCCCAAGAGACAATTCAAAGATTGATGAGGATTTGAATAATCATTTAATCGCTGATAAATTGCTTGATCACAGGCTAAATCCAAAGTGCCAGACATACCAAAATCATTTAGATACATATCACAAGATTCATGCACATTAGGATTGGAGTTTGGTTCTGGGCCTCCATCCAAAATTACAAGATTGGTGGTGGTAAACAACATCCACTTTTGATATATTCTTGAATTGAGTCATTAATTTTATCTACTCCAAAATCTTTACCATTTTCTTCACATAATGTAGAAAATACATTATTAAATTTTTCAACCCATTCATTAGTGAATTGATTGTCAACAAATAATGGTTCTGGCAACATCTGTTCAATATGATCAGTGAGGCATGATGTTTCAGGATCTGGAAACTCAATTTGGAAAACTGTTCTCAACATTGCATGTGAAGTGTGAAGAGTGACATCAAAAATATTTCCATAAGAAAATGTGTGTTGACTGATGTCAATATTGTCAACCACAGCAAGATTCCAAATATTTGGCCCAGTTTTAAGTTTTGATGCTGGCACAATATTTGATATCTGTTTTTGACGAATTCTATATTCATGACGTTTGGTATGTGATACAACTCGGACTGTTTGCAAGATTGAATAAAGATAAGGAAGAAGCTTGGAGTTTTGGCAAAGTGATGACATGATTTGTGTGAACCAAATCTTTGAAAAAGGAAAAGCAAGTGTCAACACTACTGATGCAAAAAATGGGGTGATTTTTTGAATAATGGAGTTATTTAATTCTGGCATTAAGAGCTTACGTTGTTTTCTTTTTCTTTTAACTATTTCATATTTTTTTTATTGTAAGGAAGTGACCAACCCACTAAAAAACGAAGTGAGATTTTTTGGCATTGCCTTATGGTATTCATCAAGAGACCCTGGATTTTCCAATGATTTTTGATTTTCTTTAACTATGGTATATGATTTCCAAACTGAAATTGCCAAGTTTTTACCATAATTTTCAAATGTATCTGGATTTAGCTGATTTATTTCTCTATCTTCATTTATAGAAAACTTTCTTAGTGCAAATATTACATTTAAAAGGAAAAAACTTGGAATCATTTGGTTGTTAGAAGATGTTGTTACTGCAGAATCCAATGATGTTGTTTCTGAAGGTGTTTCATTGAAATCTTTAATAACATTGATTAAAAGGTTCAATAGATTATTTTTTGCATTATTATCAGTCGATAATGCAATGTTATTAATAAATTAAGCAATAAGTTTTAAAGAAGATGTAGAATCTTCATGATGCTTCTCACTTTGCACACAAGAAACTGATCTTTTCCCAGAACCTGGTCTGGCATGAAGATGTCCACCATGTGATGTCAAGCAATCAGTGCAAATATATCTAACATGTTGCATATTTTCTGGGATGCTAGATAAATTTGAATGTGGACAGTCATGCAATCCATGACAAGGTATTTGAATATTCCGTCCACAAACATTCCACAAGTGTTGCTGACAAGCTTCTCCTCTTGAATAAAAGCACTTATATTTGTTACAAAGAAGACATCTTTTTTTGTGGATAGTACTATGGGAAAAGGGAAGAGATGCTTTGATACGAGATTCTCCAATCTGAGGTCTGTGAAGTGTGTTTTGATCATAATTTAAATGTTTCAAACACACACCCAATTTCTCAACTTTATCTCCAACTTCTTTTACAACATCTGAATCAACTTCAAATGAACCAATTAAATTGTAAATACTCCTGTTGATATCAAACTGATTACATCACTCAATCATCTCGTGATTTTTGTCATTATCAATAATTACACATGATGTTACTTCAACCTTATCTTCTTTAGGAACTTCTTTATCAAATCCAGATTCATCACTCATCTCTACATCATCATGGCCATCAAAAGCACCATCTCCATCAAAGCATTCATCATCTATATAATCTATATAATTAGCATTTATAGCACTTTCAATTTCTTGTTGAAGTGAGTTATAATCAAATGTAAACAGTGATTCATCTAAAGGACTTGTTTGGGAGTTGGACATTTTTTGATTTTGGTGATTAAGATTTTTATTTAATTATTTTACTTTATTTTATTTTATTTGAATTATTGAATTCTGTATAATTAGGTCTGAAAAGCATAATAGAAATTCGATTATATCAGAAATGTGATGATCATTTGTGATATATGCAAATTTATATTGTGCTACAATTAATTTCAATTATTTTAAAGTACTTGAGTTACGTTAAAATGCACAAAAGTAGTTAATAGGTAACATGACTTTTTAAGCAATATTGCAAAAAAAAATTATACGATTATCTTTAATATATACTCTTTCATTTAAAAAAATAAGATGCAATTAGATGCAATTCAATGAATAGGTTACATATGAAGTAAAATTTACAT